CACACACACAAAAGATATAACTAGGACTCTCAAATGGGAATTGAGCATCCTGTTCTTCATAGTATGGCTTTTTTTTGTTTGTTTATTTCTCAAAATTGTTCTGTGTATCAGTAGTTCTGAAGATCATTAATAGTGCTTACACACAAAAAGATGAACTAAACAAAAAAATGTAACATTTCTTTACTGGAGTTCTTAGAAACTTAAATAGACGAATATGTTGCATGTCTCTAAGAATGGTAACGTAGTATTTCCTAGACATTTGACTACAGAAGTCATGAATGGACTTAGTAGGAATCTAATTTCTTTTTTTTTTTTTTTTTTCTTTTTGGTGGGACTGATTTGAATTCAAGGCTTCACACTTGCAAAACAGGTGCTTTACTACTTAAGCCACACCTCCAGTCCATTTTGCTCTGGTTATTTTGGAGATGGGGGGTCTCATGAACTATTTGCCTCGGCTGGCCTCAAACCTCAACCCTCCTCATCCCATCTTCCCAAGTAGCTAGGAGTACAGGCATGAGACACCAGCACCCGGCAGGAATCTAATTTCTAATAGAATCTTTTCTTGCTTTGGTTTTGCAGGTTTTCTCTCTGGGCAGTTCTTTTTGTTTTGGGAAGACTTCTGACCTTAATTCTTTCAGTACTTACTGTTGGCTTTGGCCTTGCAAGAGCAGAGAATCAGAAGCTGGATTTCAGTACTGGAAACTTCAATGTGTTGGCTGTTAGGTACAGTCAAGTTAAATTTGTGCTGATATTTAATATGTTACCAGTTTCTCTATAATGTAAATCATCTTAAAAAGTAAGAGAATAAATATGTGGGCTGGAGAAAATACTCATTTGATTTGATACTGTTGCAGTTTTATTTCTGATTGAAGTAGTACTTTAACTTCTAGGTTGAATTATTAATAGAATGATTATTTATTAACATAGTCTTGTCAACAAAGTGAAAATTTTAGCACTATTACTACTGTCAAAGCAAAATACAAAGTACTTTTATTAAGTTACATTTTTTCATACACTCTAATTTTTTGTTCATTAATATTTTCAGAATCGCTGTTCTGGCATCTATTTGCATTACTCAAGCCTTCATGATGTGGAAGTTTATTAACTTTCAGCTTCGGAGATGGCGGGAACACTCCACTTTTCAGGCACCACCTGTGAGGAAGAAACCAACAGTAACTAAAGGCAGGTCTTCTAGAAAAGGAACAGGTTGGTATTTAGTAAGCAATGAAAAACTCAGCAAAGTAAAAATCATTTTAAAATTTGGTAATGGGGTCTTAACTTAGCTTCTTTGTTTTTTTTTGGTTTTTTTGTTTTTTTTCCTCCATTGCTGGCGTTTAAACTCAGGACCTTGTACTTGCTAGGCAGATACTCTACCACTTGAGCCACGTCATTCCCCCAGCCCCCACCCCTACATGCCAACTCTTTTTGTTTTAGTTATTTTTCAGATAGGGTCTCAGGTTTTTGTCCAGGGCTGGCCTCAGACCTCGATCCTCCTCCCTCCACCATCTGCCTAGCTGGGATTATAGATATATACCACCACACCTGGCACTTATTTTCAAATCTTAAAAATTAGAGACAAAGTGACCTTCTTCTATTCCACAGATGATTCTTTGGGACAGGGGAATCCATAACAGCCCTCAAACACTGTCCACTGTGTTTTACTCTCACAGATCTTCCATGCTTAATTACTTTGTGCCACAGTAGACCAATGTATAAGGGAAGTTTTAGTAAACAGCTGAGCTAGAGTATGATATTGTATGTCAAAGCATCTTGCACACATTTTAAGAACCTCCATAACTCATTTCCTTCTCACCGGCCTTTTAGCCTCAAATGAAACAACCATTTTTATAAATTCTGATTGCTGGATCCTTTGTCTTTGAGCCTGTCATTAACTTCTTTTCTCCTTCCGGCTTTTGATTGAAATACATTGATACTGCAGTAAATACTTTTCATTTGTATGTGGTGCATTACTTAGAACTGTAGCATAGGGAGTTCCAGTTTTAAAAATATATCAGCTCTGATTTGCTTCTTGTAAGTCTTGATCTGATAAAATTTATGTCCTCCTGATTTGTCCCAGTAATTCTTGGCCCTTTGCATTTGGTCCATTTCCACACAAAACTTGCTGAGAAAGATATTGGGTTGATTACATTTAGGGGTAATTGATTTTTTAATATGTGGTGTATTCTTCCACATATTAGTTTTACTGGGGTATAATCCCCACATCATAAATTTACCCTTTAAAGTGTACATTTCACTCATTCATTTTTAATGTATTCACAAAGCTACATGAACCACTAATTTCAGAACATTTTTATCACTCCCCAGAAACCTATGCCCATTACATGCACCTTAGCAGTCATTCTCCATGCCTTCTTCCCCTGGGCAACCACTCATTTAAGTATTTTCTGTCTCTCTGGATGGGTCTCTTTCTAGGTATTTAAGATAAATGGAACAGTACGATATATGTGGTTTTCTATGACTAACTTCCTTCACTTAGCATATTTTTGAGGTACATCTATATTGTAAGATGTATCACTCCCTCATTCTTTTTTTTTTTTCCTTGTGGTACTGGGGTTTGAACTCAATCTTGTACTTGCTAGGCCGGTATTCTGCTCAGACTTCCTTCATTCCTTTTTATGGCCAAATATTCTGTTGTTTGAAGATACCATAATTTGCTTATTCATTCATCACCTGTGATGGACATTTGGGTTGTTTCCACTTTGGAGTAATTAAGAATAATATGAGCATTCATGTACAAGTTTTTGTTTGCACACTATGTTCATTCTCTTGTGTATATACCTAGGAGTAGAATTGCTGGGTCATTTAGGGGAACTGCTAAACTGTTTTCCAAAGTATCTGTACCATTTTACATACGTAGTTTTATAGGTATATAAAATGGTGCAAAGTATCTGCACCATTTGTTGAAAAGACTAACCTTTCTCTGTTGAGTTGTGTTGATGCCATTTTTAAAAATAACATAGTAAGAGTTTAGTTCTGCACTCTGAATTGTTTTATTTATTTGTATGAGTCTGTTGTTGGGGCAGAAGCATTGGTTGCTGTTGCTTTGTTAAGTCTTGAAATCAGGAGATGGTGAGTTCTCAAGTTTTGTTTGTTTTTTTATGTTTTGATTATTCTGGTCTCTTGCATTTCTCTCTGAATTTTAAGATCAGCCTTTCAGTTTCTGCCAAAAAGCCAGCTGAAGCTTTGATATGAATTACCTTTAATCTGTGGATTGCCTTAGGGAGTATGAATATGGATATCTTTTATTTTGTTCCTTAATTTGATGCTATTGTAAAATAAAATCATCTTTTATTTTGTGTGGGGGGGTACTGGGATTTGAACTCAGGACCTTTTAACCAGACAAGTACGTATTCTTATCACTTGAACCACATCCCCAGTCCTTTTTTTTACTTTAAATATTTTTGGTTGGTGGGGTGGGTCAAGTGGTAGAGCACCTGCTTAGCAAGCGTGAGGATCTGAGTTCAAACCCCACTACCACCAAAAAAAAAAATGCTAAAACTAAATATTTTCAAATAAGGGATGTTGCATTTATGCCCCAGCTAGCCTGGACTACAGTCCTTATATTCATGCTCTCCTCCTGGCTGGGGTATCAGGTGTGCACCACCATGCCCAGCTTTTATTGGCTGCTAGCCTTGAGCCTCTGTCCTCCGGATCTTCCTCTTGAGTCGAAGAGCCACAATGCCCAGCCTAGAGCCATCTTCATTTCACTGTTGCATTGTTCATTGCCGTAGGTAGGAATACACTGATTCTCATATGTTCATCTGTTAATCCTACAACCTTGCTGGACTTACTTATTCTAATAGTGTTTTGGTAAATGTGGATTCCTTTGGATTCCCAGTATACAAGGATCATCTGTAAATGAAAATAATGTTTACTTCCTGTCCAGTTGGGTGCTTTCCATTGCATTTTTGCCAAATTCCCCTGTTTAGAACCCCCAGAACTGTTGAATAGGGCAAGAAGCAGAAGTCCTCGTCCTGCTCCTGATCTTGGGGAGATAACCATCCAGTCTTTTACTATTAAGTGTGATGTTACCTATGAGTCTCATCGGGATGAGAAAAATCCTTTCTGTTCTTGTGTGTGTGTGTGTGTGTGTGTGTGTGTGTGTGTGTGTGTGTGTGTGTGTGTGTGTGTGTTAGGTGTATTATGGGAGGATTGGTTGGGTTTTTGGTTTTTTGCTTGTTTTGTGGTTCAGGGGGTCAAACTGAGGGCCTCCAGCATGCTAAACAAGCACTTTACCACTGAACTATATGCCAGCCCTGTTTGTGTTTTTATCATGAATGTATAGTCAATTTTTTCAGTGCTTTGGGTTTTTTCTTTTATTGTAGATTACATTTAGTGCATATCAGGAGTTAAGCCAACATTACATTCCTAAGATAAATCCCACTTGGTCATGGTATATAGCCTTTGTTATATGTTGCCAGATTTGATTTGCTAGTATTTTGTTGAGGATTTTTGTGTCTTTATTTGTAAAGGATATTGGCAGAGGCAGTGCTGGGGGGTGGGGGGGGGAGGTGTCAGCTGTGTTTGGTGGTTTTGTTTTTGCAGTCTTTGGTTTTGGTATTAGGGAAGCACTGGCCTCTATTTTTTTAAAGCAATGGGTTCCTATATGGGGATCTCATATTTTTCATTAGATTTATTCTAATTTCATTAGATTTATTTTTTAAGCTACAACTACTGTATGTGCTATTTTTAAAGTTTAATTATTTGTTACATAGCAGTGTCATTGGTTTTCTTTAAGATACTTTTCTTATATTTGATTTATTCCAAAGTTTCTATCATATCATTGTCAAATATTATACCATTCCTTTTCCTTGCTGTATTATACTAGCTAGGACCACACAATAATATAAGTAGAAGAATATAAGATCAAGGGCAAACTCAACAAGGGGATTGGACTTTGATCACATGATAAAAGTGAGAGCAAACAAGGGAGGTATGAGGATAGGTAAGATACCCAAAAGACTAGATAGCATTTGTTGCCCTCAACACAGAAAAACTACAGCAGATACTTTAAAGCAACTGAGGCCAATAGGAGAAGGGAACAGGAACTAGAGAAGAACTAGTTCGAGAAGAATTAACTTAGAAGGTAACACACATGCACAGGAAATCAGTGTGAGTCAACTCCCTATATAGCTATCCTTATATCAACTAGCAAAAACCCTTAGTCCTTCCTATTATTGCTTATATTCTCTCTTCAACAAAATTAGAGATAAGGGCAAAATAGTTTCTGCCGGGTAGCGAGGGGGTGGTGGGGAGAAGGAAGGGTTGGGGGAGAGGGAGTGGGTGGGGGGTTGGGGGGGAAGAAATGATCTAAACATTGTATGCACATATGAATAAAAAAAAAGATAAATATGTCTTATTCCTCATATGAAGGGGAACACTTTTTTAATATTTAACCAGTAAGAATGATTTGGGACTGGGGGTGTAGCTTAGCAGTAGAATGCTTGCCTAGCATACCTAAGGCCCTAAGTATGATCCCTAGCACCACAAAAAATAAAGAATATTTTTAAATGCTTTTTATTCTGTTATAAAAAGTTCTCATCTGTGCTTCATTTGCTGTGAGTTTATGTCATGGTTGGATGTGGAATTTTAAGAAATCCTTTTCTGCAGCTATTGAGATAATCACACATACAGTTTATCTTTATTCTCTTAATGTAGTGAATTACATTGATTTTCAAATGTAAAACTAATCTTGCATTCCTGGTGTAAACCCAAGTTGGTGAAGATAATACATCACTTTTGCTGAGTTGGTTTTTAAATATTTGGCAGGATTTTTGCATCTGTGTTCACATAAAAGATTGGCCTATAATTAGCCTTTTTGTGCAATATCCTTGTCAAGTTTTGATCTAAAAGTTATGCTAGCCTTATAAAACGTTTTGGGCAGGTTTGTCCTTTGTGCAGTATTGACATTATTTCTTTTAAGTGTTTGGAAGAATTCACCAGTGAAGCCATCTTCTTTAGAGGAAGGTTAACTACACGTCTATATTCTTGAAAAGATAATGGAATTATTCACATTTTCTACTTCTTATTGTCTCTTTCTAAATTGTTTTTCAGGGAATTTGTTTTGTATAAGTTTACAAATTTATTGGCAGAAAATTATTCATAACGTCCTCTTGTTATCTTTTTTTGTGTGTGTGTGTGGTACTGGGTTGAAATCGGGCACCTGGTTCCTTTTGTTATTGTAATGCCTATAGATCAGCAGTGATTTCTCCTTTTCATTTCCTATTTTAGTAACTTACTCTTTTCTCATTCTTCTGTCAATCAAAATCAACATTTGAGGGCTATGTTGTTCAGTGGTAGAGCACCTGCCTAGCATGTATAAAGAAGCCTAGTAGGTTCAATCCCCAGCATGGAGGTAGAGATGAGGAGAATCCTGGTTGAGAGCCAGCACTGGCAAATAGTTATGAGAACCTATCTTGAAAATAACAAACAAAAAGCCATTTTTTTGTTGTTGGTTTTTGTTTTCTATATTGTTGATTTCTGTTATTTCCCTTTCTTTGAATTTAATTTGCTGTTTTGTTGTTTGTGTTTTACCTTTTGAGATGGATGTTTAGAACATTGATTATCATGTCTTGTGAATCATGTTCAGTTAAGCACAGACTTTCCCTCTCAGCACTGCTTTGGCTGTATTCACAGTTTGGTTATGTCTTTAACATTATTCAGTTCAAAGTATTTTTTATTTCTAATTGTAATTTCTTCTTTGAACCATGAAGTTTTTAATAAGTTCATTGTTTAATTTACAAATATTTGGTCATTTTCTACTTTTTGCTATTGATTTCTAACTCAATTCCACTGTGATTAAAGAGTATCCTCCAATGATTTCAGTTCCATAAAATTTGTTGAGACTTTCATTACAGGTCAGCCACTGTCCAGTTTTGGTAAATGTTTCTGCGGTTCTAAATAGAAGTTCACTTCTGTATTCGTTTGGCAGCAGGTCACATTTGTTAATTGTGTTCCATATTTTTTAATTTACTGATTTGGTGTGGAGAACTTACTTGTTCTGTCCATTACTGCAAAATTTATGTTAAAAATCTCAGACTGAGATTGTAAAGTTGCCCGTTTCTCTTTGTAAAATTTCATGAGGTTTTTGAGTACTTTGAAAGATATGTTATTAGGTACATCAAAATTTAGAACTGTCTGGTCTTCCTGTTGAAAGTGTTCTTTTTTCATTGTCAAATGTATGTTTGTCTGAGTTTACTGTAGCTATGCTAGCTTTCTTTTGTTAAAACGTTATTGTGGTATATGTTTTCCTGTTTTTTTCACCCCAAGCCTTTCTTTGTCTTTATGTAAAAATCTTGGCTCTTATAAGCAGCATCTAATTGGATTTCATTTTTTTCATCCAACCTGATCACTGAGTTTGCATTTTATCAATTATACTAAAAGTGTACCAACGGTGTATTATTATACTATGATATGCCTGGATTTTCTGTATTTGGCCTACTCTGTTGGGTGGAGCTTTCTAAATCTTGATGAGGCTTATTGTTTTTGGAAATTTTCTTCTGTATTATTCAGATACTGCTTCAGCCCCATTCTCTTTCTTTTGTCCTTCCAGGGTTCCAATTGTACATATGTTAAATGTTAAACTTCTTTACCTGGTTCCTTACATGCATTTTCCATCTTTTTTTCTGTTATATTTGTAATCTGAGTATTTTCTCCAGTTCGCTAACCTCTTCTGTTGTGCCTAATCTGCTATTAAGTGCGCTTGTTTAACTTGTACTTTGAATGTCTCTTTTTAATAGCTCCAGATCTGGATCACCTTAGGATCTTTTTCTGACTTTTTTTTCTCTTGGTTTTATTTATTTGGTCTTGTTTTCTAACTGGCCTAGTAATTTTTAGCTGATTCTTTTGTGTAAAAATCGGTAGCGTCTCTGGATTGAATATGGGTAGACACTCCATATCTCGCTGAAGCTGATCTATTTCTGGTTTGCCCATGTTCATAGGATGGATATCAGCATATTAGGCATATATAAGGACTTTCTTCCCTGATGGACCCTGAAATCAAAGTTTTATCTCCCTCTCAATGTGAGTCTTCCAGTTCTCTGTGTAACTTTATAGTTTCTTAGGAATTGCTCTTGTGTGATTTCTGTCTTCCTTGATGCATATACAGGTTAATATTGGCAAATGCTTTGAGGGAGAAGTGCATATAGAATATTGGTTCTTTTCCTTACAGTTTCTTCTCACCAGGATTTCAGCTGCATCTTGCCTGTTTGCTATTCTCGAACTTGGCTCTGAGCTTTTCCTTTATTGGGCTCTCAGCCTGAGTTCCTGTCTACAAACTTTGATTCCTTCAGTCTTCAGATGGTCCAGAAGAAGTCCCAGTTAACACAAGTCACTTCAATTCATTTCTTTTCCTTCCAGAACCTTGGCACATCCAGACGCTTTGCCTTGATTGTTTCCAGCACCTTGAAGTGCTATTTTTTATCTTCAGCTTCTATGGATAGAGAGGGAGGGTTAAGCAGGCATCAATGATAACATCATAGCTTGAAGAAGTAGGAGGAGGCCATGGTATAGGCCTAAGCATAACGGTTGTGCTAAACAACTTTCTATGCATTATAAAGAAATAATCTCAAAGGACTGTTACTAAGTGTGAAAGGATTCTTTATTTCCACCAAAAGCCCTGCTCTTGCACGTTATTTGTCTGTAACTTTTTAAAATAGTTTTTTATCCTGTCACTTTTTTTCTGCTTTCAATAGTAGTTAATCTCTTTTAATTTACTGCTTTCAGTTCATTGTGTTCAGCATAATACCAGGTTCTATGATGAGTTAAATCATAGTTAAGATTAATCACTAGTAAATAAGTTTCAGGTGAATATATATTGGACTTTAAATTTTCTTATCTAACGGTAACTTTATACATAAAGATTATTACTTGCATTTACTTACAAAAGACAGTGACACTGATTCTTTTCTCTTTTCAGAAAATGGTGTAAATGGAACAGTAACATCAAATGGAGCAGATTCTCCCCGTAATAGGAAAGAGAAATCTTCATAATGAATTAACAGCGAATTGATTCATGTCCCCAAAGAAATCTGCTTTTTACTCTATCTTTCAGCACTAGAGATTTTTCTGTTCTTGAAAATACAGTTTGTGCTCTTTGATTCTTGCTATTGTACCGTTTCATGCATTTTTTTAAAGGGCATTTGAGGGAGGATGATTACTATGAGTGAAAAAATATTTTAGCTTAGACTAAGCTACCTGCCTTCAAAATAGTTTAGGGACCACCACATATTTTACTTTGTTTTTTATCTTTGAACATTTTTCTAATGGTTTGGGAAGTAAACCTATTTACAAAAATCCCACATATCAGTGATAAAATTTCTTGCTCTCACTAATTTTTTATACTAGCAAGGTGACCTGTTCCAAGAAGGTCATATTTTTTAAGTTATCATTCAGGGTAAAATGGAAATACTATAAAGTCAGATGTCAAACTTTAATATGTTTTCAGTGTTCTCTAATTTTTAGGAATTTTTGTAGTCTTTACACCTGAAAAAAAAAGATTTATAAGATCAACAAAATAATTGTGTGCTTTATTTCATAGACAGTAGTTGTTAGTGTTACATTCCCATTTTAAACAAAATAGATACTAATGGTTACAACATGTGAAGATTTATTGTCATACATATTGGATCAAAATATTAACATAAAAGTATTGTGTAGTAAAATCTTTCTTTTGCATTTCAACACTTAAAAACTGGCAATCAGAAAATGTTTACTATGAAGAGGAATATCCAAGTTGGCCCTTTTTGATATGTTTATTAATAATGATTTCTAATGGGGCATCTCATAAGTTTGATATGCATAGCATCTTAGAAAAATACTCCTTAAATTGCAAACCCTTTTAAAAAACAATGCCTACTTGATTTGTATCTATATGTCAGGTAATTATATTTGGAAAACTAGTGCACTAACTTTAAAGAAATTGAAAATTCAGGTGGATAGTCTTACAAAAGACAGTGCTTTATGTTATAACTAGCTTTGGTCCCATCTTTAATTGAGAAACATTTATCTGTATAAAACATATTTTTGGATAAATATATATATATATATATATTTGTATCTACAGAAAGGCTCTAAAAAGCATTTGAGTAAAATATTTGGTTCCCTTTTCTATGATTACCCTTTGAAGTCCTTATAGACAAATGTGGTTGTTTGTTGTCTTTATAGTACATACAGTGGTCTTTTGGTGTCCACATCCTGTTCCCCATTTTTCACTCTGTCACCAGCTATTTTGTGCCATTTTCAGTGTAGAATTGCAGACCTGTGAGGTCTGTGGTTTAAGTTGCCATGCTGCTAGAAAGTTGTGCTTTCTCTTTCCAGCTGTTTACTACTTCCTGGAAAAAGTAGTAGCTCTCTGTAGCATTATGGACTTTCAGTGGAACCAAATTTTTGCCATTAAAAACTGGCATTGAACTATACATTGAGAAATCAGTCAAAATAAAAATTTTTACTTTCACAAGCTGCTTCCTGGACAATTCCTTCATTTTAGCATTTATGTTATTTTAGTATATCATTTCACTAAAACTGCTATTTTTAACAAATTCTTAGCTCTGTAAGATATTTATGAAGGCTACTGGGGAAAAGTGATACATAACCAAAGAAGTGAAGGGAATGTTGGGTTATGGTGTTCACTACAGGACTATTCTGTCCTTAAAATGCAGTCCCAGGAATATTGGCAGTGGCACTATAATAAGCAGTACTTCCTCTCTTTATTTGACTAGAATCTTCTTCTTAAATTACTTACAGCATTTGTGTTCTGTAGCATGGACTGTGGATTTAAGAAAAGAAAAAACAAACCCTTAGTGTGTGGATAGAACATTACAAACAGACATACACACACATGTAATAGCCCTGGACCTTCGCTTCTCAAACGCCCGAGGAAACTCCTCACTGGCTTCCCAGTCATGCAAAGGCCAGCACTATCAGCTGTATTCAGGTTGAACTTTGAAGCCTGATGGGAAACAGGACTGTGAACCAGGACAGCTGCTGTTTGGTCTTAGGTTCAGTGACCTTGAACTAGTTGCTTTTCCATTCTGAGGTTCAGTCTTTCCCTTTAAAATGCTTTCCTATCTGCATTTTAGACTATGACTGTGAGTGATCCACGTGGACTATTCCAGAATGAAATTACTAAGCATATTATAAAAATAAGCCATCTTGCAAAGTCCTTAAGTTCAGAACTAATCCTGGAGTAAAGCTTGTAAGCTTGTATAGATAGGGAAATGAGAAAATTTTTATTGCAAACGTGTTGGCAATAGCCAACTAACACCCTGTATCTCCATAGTGTTGCCAAATGTTTTCACTGAAAACTAGTTCTTCTCATTGTCTGCAAATGGACAACAGCAAAAATTGTTTTTAAAAAGTAAGAAAACTAATACTAGTCACCTGTTTTTATCTTTAAATGAGTGGGTTTAAGAAGTACTGTGGAGAAAATTCCAGGGGATAATGCTTAAGCAGATACTTGATGTTGAAGTTTTACAACTTTCTTGGGCATTCATGCTTGCGATGCAAGTGCATTGTTTTGTGGATGTGACGGCATGTGCAGTAATAGACCTGTAAGTGCGTGGTCACATGACACAGACTAGCATCTGAAGACTTCAGGTCCTTAACTCTTGTATGCTTGCTGGACTAATCCTTTTTCTTATTAAATATGAAAAACCATGCAATAAAGTTCCTTATGAGAACAATTAGAATTTAATGTTTCAAAAATGCAACTTAAACTAATTGAGGTCAGGCATAATGTCTATATTGTATGTACTAAATTACAAGAAAAATGAAAAATGGAGTGTAGTTTCTAAAGTGAATTCCATGAATTCTTATCATTTGCAAGTAAGTGGATGGAACTGGAGGACATCATTCTGAGTTAGGTTAGCCTGGCCCAAAGACCAAAAATTATATGTTCTCCCTCATATGTGGACATTAGATCAAGGGCAAACACAACAAGGGGATTGGACTTTAATCACATGATAAAGTGAGAGCACACAAGGGAG